CAAAGTAAACAATCACATACTAAAATAAAAATGTTAACCAAGACACACTCTACCCTATTAACTACAAGTTAGCAAAGACCAACTAAGACAATTCTAAAAACCTATGTACAAACTTTTAAGAACAAAGCAGTTATTAAGAGTACTATGGTATTTCTGTGAAAATCATAATTAATTTTACATATCTAATTTATTGAATGTATGAAAACAAAGTTTTGGGTTCCAGGTGATCCATCCCACTTGCTACTCACACCACCCTTGGAGAAACATCATGTCTCAGAGTTCCCTACAATGAGCATATGACAAGGAAATAAAGTATAGAGTGAAGGCAACAAGCAGTCCACAGACATTGGGCTGGGCTGTTCTTTTCCTAAAACTGTTCTGTATTCAATATTATATTGAGAGCCTGCTAATAGCCAGGTTCTGTGTTAGAAACAGAGTTTCCATGATAAATAACATGGGGACTCTACCCTCAGTGACTGAGAAAGGAAAATTATTAGCAAATGGCACAAAAACCCTCATAAGATCATATTCAATATAATAATGTACATAAAAAAATATCGAGTGAGTAGTGATAATCATTTAAATGCAAACGATGTTCCATTAGGAAATTTATTAACATAAATGAAAATATTAAATAATTAAAGGAGATAATATGATAATCTCAACAGAAGCAAAAAAGAGTGTTTGATAAAATTTAACATCATTCACAATAAAAAACACTTAGCAAATAAGGAAAAGAATATTTTAAACTGATAAAAAGTGATCTATCTGCCAAAAACATGGAACAAACATAACACACAATGATGAAAAGACAAAAAAAATCAGGAACAAGATAAAGATTCCTGTTATAACTACTTCTACCCAAATTGTATTGAACATACTACTGAGCCCAAAAGATAACAAAAAGTATAAAGACTGAAGGAAGAAAGAAAATGGCCATTATTTATTTATAGCTGAATAGTCTACATAGAAAATCCAAACAAATACTGGAAATAATAGGAGAATTCAGCAAAGTTGCTGAGTAAAAGATAAAGAAATCAACAGCATTCCCATATACTAGCAACAAACAACTAGAAACTATTTTTAAAGAGCTACCATTTATAGGGAACAGGATAGTCTCAAACTATCTACCCACAGGTAACTTATTCACTACAAACTGAAAAAGAACCTTTGCCATCTGCCTGTCACCAGGCCAATCAAGTGATCAAACAGACAGCCCCACACAAGGTGTGGGGTGACAAGGTGACATCCATGCCTCCTGATGGTGTGCAGTGGAAGGACACCCCCAAAATCCCTGAATCCAAATCTTATGAGGAAACAATGGGACAAACTGGCTTCACAAAAGCCATGCCTTGAAAAATAAAAAAGGGGATTATTCTAGATCTGAAGTTTTCGAACTTTTTGGTCTCTGAAGCCCTAAATTCTTAAAAATTACTGAGGACACCAAAGACCTTTTGTTTATGGGAGTTATACCTAGTGATATTTACGTATTAGAAATTAAAACTCAGAACTGTAAAAGATATTTCTCATTGATTCATTTAAATAATAAGCATATTGACATAAATAAAATATTATTTGAAAAATAATTACATTTTCCAAATCAAAAAATGTTTGGTGCGGAGACACACATATTCACGTTTGTGGCAAACCTCTTTAAGGTCTAGTTTACCAGAAGGCAGCTCCTTTACTGGGGGGCAATATGTTGTTCTACTTGGAGTATTCACCGTGAAAATTCAGCCTCACGCAGCTATGCAGCTGGACACGAACTGGAGAGGGACAGCGAAGGTCTGAGGCGCTACACAGCCTTGGCCCCATGGCTGGTGGAGCAGGGTCAGCAGACCCCAGTGGATTACACCCAGTGGGGACATTATGAAGGACTTCTTTTTCCTAACTTACTCTGTCCTGCTTTTTCCAAGTTTTCTACCATGAGTGAGAAATTATTACTTTTATAATAATGTTTTTTTTTTTTTTTTTTGAGGAAGATCAGCCCTGAGCTAACATCCGTGCTAATCCTCCTCTTTTTGCTGAGGAAGACCGGCTCTGAGCTAACATCTATTGCCAATCCTCCTCCTTTTTTTTCCCCAAAGCACCAGCAGATAGTTGTATGTCATAGTTGCACATCCTTCTAGTTGCTGTATGTGGGACACAGCCTCAGCATGGCCAGAGAAGCAGTGCGTCGGTGCGCGCCCAGGATCCGAACCTGGGCCGCCAGTAGTGGAGCACGGGCACTTAACCACTAAGCCATGGGGCCGGCCCTATAATAATGTTTTTTAAGTTTCAGTCAAATTGCTTTTTCCCAAAGCTTGGCAACATTATTTTAGATGCATACATAGCAGTCAGGATGAGATTACGGAAAATACAAGTAAGTTCACTGACTTCAGTGAAGAGAAAAATGCAGCCAGGAGGAAGGATCAGTATATAGCAAACAATGATCTAGAACAAATGTGACCCAAAAGCATCTCCCGTCTCCAAATAGATGGAGAGAGTGGAAAGAGCAAATATCGGATGTCACTCCAGTGGAGAGAGTGAAGGGGAAACTTGTGAGAGGTGAGGAGAGGAAAATAGGTCAGATCATGCAGGGCCCTGCAAGCAAGGTAAGGAGCAGCCCCGTTAACCCTAGCGCTCACTCACAGACCCAGCACCTGCGAGAGAAATTAGTACACCATTTCCTTCACTTCACATCAGAGAGCCTGTGCTCAATAACAGAAAGACTCTCAACTGGAAAAGCAAAGTCTTGAATCTTGTTCCCGATTTAGTCACTGAGGGATTAATAACATAGAGCTTCAGTTGCCTATTAGTAACATGAGAAAAGCAATGCCTGCCTTGTCTTCCTCCATAAAGGTATTATCAGATGTCATGAAATGTCAAAAACGTAAGATCTGAGATTCTGGCAATGGCACCTTATTAGCATACAGTTCTTAGATGAATTAAAATTGCTTGGACGTAGGGCATATTGTTTGAATTATTGTATACCACTCACTGAGCCTGAGGAAAAGGAGCGGAAACTGGTCTGGAGAAGACTGTGGATTTGGTTTTGGGCGCTTAAGGGGAGGATGACGTTTGCCCAAACAACTCGGAGAAAAAGAAGAGCTGGAAGCAGATTCTAATTGATTCCAGGAAGAGAAGGAGGGAAGTAGAGACAACAATATGGAGAATTATTTCAAGAAACTGTGAGGGGCAGGAAAGGGACAGGACACACACAGCAGAAGATGTGAGGGGTTTGCTTGGTTTGAATAGGAGAATTGCTGGTGGTTGGGGCAGGGAAAAGGGGAAGCAGGAGATAGAGGAGCTCCAGGTGGGCCTGGTGAAATGGGGCCTTTAAGGACGAGAAAAGCGATGGAATAAAGAGGTTCGGGAAAGACTGCTACAAAAGAGTGAAGGAATTAAAATAAATATGGCCAGAAACACCACTCCCCAGAACAAGCAAGGAATGGATTCTGACACACTGTGAATTAGACTGAGTTTGTAACCCACAGGAAGCAGCACTCAAACAATTAAGGCAACATGGCTCCACATTCTGCCCACAGACTTCTTTTCTTAACTCTTCCTGCGTGTGTGTGTGTGTGTGTGTGTGTGTGTGAGAGAGAGAGAGAGAGAGAGAGACACTTCATGTATAAACATAAATAGTGTTGCTGATCAAGATGTGCTGTAGGTTTATACTTTGAATCATCTTCTCCTCCAAACACAGCAATGACAGAAAATGCTAGTGCATATACGTATATTTTAAGCAAAAGATGTACCACCACTCAAAAGCAAGAAAATCAACTGCATAAGCAAGAAATGGAACAAAAGGCAAGATGGTAAGCAGGAGCCTGGCTAGGCTTCAAGTCCACGGGCCGGCGAGGTGGCCAGGATCCGTATCCCGTGAGGCACAGGAACCAAAGGCACTCTAGTCCTCTGCAGTGTAACTGGAACCAGCTATTTGAGCAAACCAGGGGCTCAGACAGTGGTCCCTTGATCCTGAAAGGGGGCTGAAAAAAGCCACAACTGATGCCCTGGAACTACACCTTCTGTCTACAGCATGCTACCTACTGGCTCTGTGACTGGCTCTGCAAAATTGCCAACATCACCACAAGGTGGGAGCTCTGGGCTACAAACACCTGGTTCTGGACTAGGAGGCCCAGGGAGGCAACTGAAAACATAAAACAGGGAGAAGTAAGCAGAGAGAGAAAGAGAATAAACTCCTACTCAAGATGAACATACAAACTAAAATTCTTTAGCATATTAGAAAAACTATGAAAGTCAGCCAAGAAATTTAATAATCAGAAGACTAATTTCATTCCTGATGAAAAACAAGACTAGGAAAGTTTAACAATAATGGACCTTCACTGAATGAGCCACTGAAGGATCAATTTCACTAAGAAGAATACCATACCAAGACAGAAGGTTCAGGATATAAGAAACAATGACCTAAAGCAAGCATGACCCCAACATCCCCCTCCTAACGCAGTCAGAGCTCAATAAAAGTTTGTTGAATACACGGTTAGGTTTTATGAATCTTCAATGATCTACTCGTAATTCCTAAAAATAACTCAGAATAATTCTCTGTCTTAAAGGAACCATTTTATACTTATAATACCACTAAGTAATTTAAACTATAAATTAATCTTCAGACTGGCATTCTATTTTTAGCTATGGGCTATCATCTTAGAGTTTGAAGTGTCAAGAGCAAACAGTGCTGCTGCCTCTCCACGGCCATCTCCTCTCTCCCTTGCTCTGTCATCTTTGCAGCAACTATCCCCACCACCCTCGGCAGAGCAGCCACATAATTCGCCAAACTCATCCTTTGGTGTTGTTGGGCATAACTTCAGTTTCAAGACAGCATCAATGCACAGTTCCATCTTTTTAACTTTAAAGTAGTTCATGGCGAAGAATCTGGCTGGAAAGCACTTAACAAAACAGTCACATCTGAGACAATGAGTGGATACATATTTGTTGAACTCAGTACATGACTGTTCTCACTTTCAGTCAATGTTTAATTCAGCAATATTCAAACTTACCAAATAGGTTCCCATCTGCTTTTCCAAGACGACTTGTTCATACAATGTAGCATCGATGTCTTCCTTTAAAGCCTGTACCTTCCTCTTCACCTGCACGTGGTGCTTCCTTTGGAGCCAATATGGAAGAAGAGATTCCACAATCTGGTTAAGGATCTGGGAGGTAATCAGGAGAGTGGCCAAGCTCTAAAGAGAAGCACATAAATGATATTTGGCAATGTTACTTAATAAAACCATAGCATGTATACAATTATGCAACAAATAAAATGGAATCCTCAACAAAGAGTATACTGTTACGTTACAAAAACTAGAACAGAAAAGCTAGGTGTTAGAATGATGTTTCCAATTTACTGTTTTTTCAAGGAAAGACAGACTAAAATACAAAAAGATTATAATACAAATAAGATGATAACAAAAAATAAACCAGTTATGAGTCAGCAAGAGAACGAATTAACTTGCATTCGTGTTTTTTGCTATCTCATTCTGGCTACAATATATGAATCTAAATGATGTTGCCAACTTGGAGAAAAAATAGTTTGGTTACAACTTAAAAAAATATGCAACTAATACATCCTACCTCACTGTAGAAAACTTAGAAAATAGGGGAAAAAATCACCCATAATTCCACAACCATGAGAGACCACTGCTAACATCTTAAATATTTCTTTCTAATCATACATAAAAATAAAACTAGAATCATCCTAAATGTATACAGCTTTCTATATTTCTCTTCTCACTTAATATATTGTGAGCACTTTTCCGTGTCATTAAAAATTCTTTTTTACTTGGCCCATGCACTATTGTTGAATATAAGTATTATTCCCAACCTGCACTATTATCAATGCTGCTCCTTGGATACCTCTGTACATGGACCCCCCATCTCTGATGGTTTACTAGGGATGGATTACAATTCTTGGCAAAGCTGCCCAAGTGGTTTCCAGAGGTGTTGTGTCAATTTCCACTTTCCCTAGATGGATATCAGTGTTTCCATCACACACCACCTTTGCTAGTTTTAAAATTCTATTTTTTAAACAGTCCTCTTCCATTCCCCTGACCCCTGTTAAATAAAGGAGACTCTCTAAAGTATAAGCAATGAGAAGTCATACCCAACTAATATACTAATGCTGGAACTAAAGAACGTATGAACTTATCAATTTCAAATGTATTATTTGGAACTTTCTCATTTTTCAAAAATAAGTTTTAAAAAGTAGTAATACATCTAGTATATTTTGTATAACTATAGTATAGTTCTTAAGAGCACAACATTTAATTTTACTTTTATGTAAGCTGTTAGAATGATAACTACAAAATCTTTTAACTTTCTCTGTTACACAAATTTTTTAATTTCCTGAAAAATGATCCCAAGCTATATTTACAGTAGTAATAAAATACAATAATAATAATTATTAAGAAGCCTAGGCTTTGAAACTCTGCTCACTAATGATCCCAGTATATTAAAACCAGGAAGAAACAGCCCTTATTGATAGCTGGCTCTGGTATAAAAAAGAGAATTTAGAAAGCAATAATGTATACTATATTTATTATTCACTCTTATGTGATCCAGAAATGGCAACAGAACAAAATATGTCAGACTTAAACATTTCAGAAAAGATATAGAACTGCATAGGATCTGCTGGTCTCTAAAGTTGAACAACTTATTAACTTAAAAGTGAAATGTGTAAGACATTTAAGACTATACCAATCACTGCCCACCCTGAGACACACACAAAAGTTCAATTAACGAACACATTTTTGCGTTAGAATTGTTTTTACAAGCTTTGATATGAACTATATATTTGATTTTACTGCCCTAATATGATTAAATTTGCAAGTTGGTTAGCTTCAACTATTTCCTTTTCAGTTGAGTACAACACATAGTGTAACTGTTAATGGTTTTTTCATTTAGAATTGGGCTTCGAAGTATACAAAATTTAATAATTTTATTTGTAAAAATAATAATGGGAAGACAATTACATCACCTGAATATAGGAAACCATGTCTAAAACCTAAAAAATTGATACCTTTCTGTTATTCACACTCACCTGACGCAAAAGCTTCATATCCCTCAGGACAAAGGCAATGTAGAAGAGTGAGGCAAAGCAATTTAGAAAGTTGAACTGCCAAAAAAAGACAGCAATATTTAATACTGCTTCACAGTATTTTATTACTACTGTAAATATAGCATTTAAAAACATAATGAATCTAAACACCATTTATCAAGCCACCCTGTGGCAGGCATCCCATGTGTAAAGCAGAGGAAGATGGGCACGGATGTTAGCCCAGGGCCAATCTTCCTCAGCAAAAAAAAAAAAAAAAAAGAGGAGGATTGGCAACAGATGTTAGCTCAGAGCTAATCTTCCTCACCAAAAAAATTTAAAAATTAAAAAAATTTAAAAAGAAAACATAATGAGGTATGTGGAAGATAAACTAACACATGGACAAAGAGAACAGATTAGTGGTTACCAGAGGGGAAGGGGGTTGGGGAATGGGCATAAGGGGTAAAGGGGCACATTTATATGGTGACTGACAAATGATAACGTACAACTGAAATTTCACAATGTTATAAACTATTATGAGCTCCAAAAAAAAAAAGTAACGAGGGAGTTCCAGTCAGCTAAGACGACATAGACTTGTTTCTCCCTACTCCTCCTCACTAAGCACATCTATAAACTCTGGAAATAACACAAAAGGCAACCAAACGAGAACTCTGAAAGGTGCTAAGAAAAAGACAAACTGGTTTGGGACTCCAGGACTGAAGGACAATACAGCACCAGTGCATCTTACACTTCTACTACACTCTTGCAAAAGAAGGAGACCAAGGCCCAGCATTTCCCACCCCCAGCCTAGTAACCCACACAACCCAGGTAGGCTCATTCCCTGTTCACCCCCGCTTAGAATAGGAGTCCCGATAACAGGGGAGCCCAGCAGAACTGACTAGGGAGACTGATCAGGAACCTTCACTAACAATAAACTGCCAGGGGAAGTGCTCTCCTTCCCTCCTGCCCTCCTGGGGCTGATGCTCCCCCACCCCACAGAGAGATAACAGGATGGCCAGGCAGTGCCAAGCAAGAGAGACCTGCCATAACAATCGGCCAGGCCTGGGAAGCATCTTTGTCACCAAGGGCCTGAGACTCCTCTGCCATGCCCAGACACACAGTTCAGGGCTGGGGATCCCACCACCAAAGTGCCATTTCTTCAAGTGGTTCCCCTGCTCAAGAACCTGCAACCATCCCCTGCACTAATGGGTGTCCTTTCTGCCTCCCAGCGCCATGCTGGCTACTTCCTGCTTAGCAGCATCACTGCTGAGACAAAAGACTGCTCTGTGTTCAGAGTGAGGACTGAATGAGTGAGGGAATGGGGGGTACTGGAGAGAGTGAGCAGTAAGATGAGTACAGCCACAGCATAGGGGTGGGAGTGCCAAGTTAGGCCAGAAGTTGAAAAGCAGAAGCTTGGGAGGGCTGAAAACACTCTCCCCATAAGATTAAAAAGGAAGGGAGAGCCCTAAGAAACACAACTGGAGGCTAGCAGAATGTACCTTAGGCGTCTTTCCACAGGCAGTTACCTGACATTATACCTGGCATGGTCAGAGAACAAGTCTCACAAATAACAGAAGTCTTTCAGACCAATGGAGTGTTTCACCTCAAGGGCAAAAGCTCCAGGTTACAGTCTGTTTGAATGAACTTTATAAGGCGTTACATGTTCCCCTGCTTTCTTACACAGAGAACACAGAACGTAATACCTCCTTGCTGAGTCAGCACCAACATTTTGAATGTCCACTATTTCCCAGTGCTAGAATGAGTCCTTCAGAGCCTTTTTACATAGGTATGGCCGCCTACCCCTTTTCTAACGTCCAAATTGCTAAAATTGTTGAATTCTTATTATCTATTTACGACAGGTTTTCTAGTTCCTTCCCTGCTCTTGCCTTTATCAATTTACCTACTTCCAGAAACCTAATCACCTTCCTAATGATTTCTGATATTTTAAGGACTGAAAAACCAGTAAATAAGCTTCTCAGAACGATTTCTACAGCTGGAACAAAGGCTCTTTCTAAGTGAGGGCCTGGATCCCTCTCTTGGGATAAAGTACACGGACTATGTTAAATCAATTCCAGTTGATAGTTCAGAGGACTCTTTTTTCTGTTATTTTTAATTTTTATTTATTTATGTATTTTTATTGAATAAGATGAGTTTATAATATTATATTTCAGGTGTTCAGAGGACTCTTTACGCACCTTCCTTGATTCTCAGCTATAGTACAGATGGCTGGGGTAATCTCCTTATAAACAAGGCACTTTCAAGCTGGTACTTTGTTATTTATAATAACGGTGGGAAGAGGGACAACGTGTGAGCTTTCACACAAACTGCAAGCAGGTTGCACAATGCCTACTCTCCATCTCTTTCCTCCTACCCATCAAAACATGCTGGGAATCTCCTGGACTTAGGAAATTTCTTTGACAAAATTTCTTAAAATAATAATTTAATGTTCCATCACTAAACATAATTGTGGGTAACGGGAAGGAACGTTGAACAGTGAAACATTCAAAGAAGTCACCAAAAGGAAAATAATAGAAACATGTCTGTGAAGTGATCAATTAGCTTTTTAAATAACTGGAAATTGGCTATAATAGTAATTTCTATATTTGAAGTCTTACACCACGTGCACATTTGTAATAAGACTATTGGATGTATATGTAAACACACTATCAATCAATCCTTGCCTACTTGTACAAAGTATATTAACTATCATCTTTTAAATTAGAAGCAAGTCTGCATATTTACATTCCTAAATATTAAATAGTATGCATTAGTTTCATAATTAAAATGGAATTGTATACAAAAACTCTACTTACCACTAAAACTTTCAGAATTAGGTGATTCTGGTAGGCAGATTCCAATCTGTGATTCTCTAAAATATTAAAAGGAGAGGTAATGTCTCTCAGGTAAGAAAGCAACATGGGAGCACTGTCATGAAGTACAGTGAGACTTCTGCTGAGGCACAGGCGTCCAACAACAGAGCCGCGGTCAGTAAATGTGCTAGGCTGTCAATCACTATCGCTTACCACTGAGAACATCAAACAAGGAAGAAACTAAATTTAGGACACATTTCTCGTGGTACTGCAATCACACTGTGGTCTGAAATTATTTTTAAAATATTACTGCAACAAAGAAATGTAGGATGTGTTGGCAAATGATCGCCTCGACAGCCAGCCAGAAAAAGACCCTGAATAAGTGGTGATAGAAAAATTGATAGCAACCTCTAAAAAGTAGGGCAATAAGTAGGGCAATAAGATTTCTGAAAATGTGGCTTACAAGGCTTAACTTAAAGGGAAACTCAAATTTCCATCTGCAGCTAGGAAAAGGAAACACTGTGCAGGTCCCAAGACAGCAGGGCCAAAGGACAAAAACGAAGATTCTGAAGAGATGTATCATCTTGCACAGGGAGGCAGTGCTAGGCTGACCTGGATTTGAACCCCAACTCAGCTACTCAGCCACTGTCTGACCTTGGGCAAGTCACTTAACCTGCTGATACTCAGCCTACTCCCCTACAAAACAGGGTTGACACTACCCTCCCCCCAGGGTCACTGTCAGGATTTGAAATAGTACAAAACCTTAGCCCAGTATCAGCACAAGGAAAGCTCTCAACAGAGTAGCTATTATTGCTATACAACTAATAAAAATACTTTAAAATATCTTTATCGTCCATGAAGTTAAGGCTTAGGCTTCTTCCTTGGGAATAATACAGCATCTTTATTTGTTTGAATGAATAAATAAAGAGTATATGGCCTATCAAGACCATTTTTAAACTATAACCAAGTCCCTCTTTTACCACAGATACACACAAGAACACCCGCCTTCGCTGAGCTCAACAGTAGTCCTCGATACTCCACACAACTAGAAAATTGGTTCTCAGATACTAGACAGTTCATTTGGCCAGAGTATCATGAAGATAATTCAATCTATGTTACCCTCAGCATAAAACACACTATTATAGTATTAAGAGCACAGGTTTTAGATACAGAGAGGTCTGGATTAGCCTGGCTTTACAATTTGCTGTCTGAACCTTGTTAATTCTCAGTATCTTCATCCATAAAATGGTGAAATAACTTCTATTTCATGGTGTCCTGAGAAGGTGAAAATGAGATACTATGGATAAAGTGCTTAGCTGGGCACCTAGAACATAGTAACTAACATTCAATAAATGAGAGCTCTGACAGCTACGATGTGGAGATCAGAGCTCACAAAGCCAATGAACTTTTCCTTATGTCTCTATAATAAGCCAGGAGCAACAACTTCTTTGCAAGATAGCAGTTATAGGAATCCTATGATCTAAGCAGTACTTCTTATAGGAAATAAGAAATAAATACAAAGCATCAAGTCTTACCCCATGAAGTTAAAAACTCGGCAGCGTATCGATAGAGACGGTTCATGATCTCAATCACAATGGCATAGATGATGCTGGGCACATAGAGCAAGACACTGGTCCACTCGGACCCACTGTCCTCGTATATATCCAAGGCCCAGGCCTCCATGTCAAAGTAAATCATCATGACATACAGAGAGAAATAGAGACAGAGGCACACAAACGGCAGAGAGACCAGGTAAATGCGCAACTGTCTCTTGTAGCTGGGATACAGAGGTTCCTCTCTGCCAGTGACGAGATTGATACCCAGGACCCCATGAAATCCCGGCCGGGGCTCCTCAAATTGCCTCTTCATGACCAGTGTCCCCCACCTGTAGGTCATACTGGCACAGCCACGCTTCCACACTTCCAGGATCACTGTGGACCAGATCAGGTTGAAGGAGGCGAAGATCACGTACTTGTCATAGTCTTCCCACGCAAACATGTAGTAAGGTAACCCAATGACCGCCATAGGGATTAAGGCAAAAGTGAAATATTCCAAAAATCCAAAGTAAAGAGCAATTGTTTCCCCAAAGTAGCCACGAATACTGTCTACAATGGAAGGAAAAAAAGACCTTAAGTACAGACCACCAAAGACTTTTTTTTTTATCATTTCAAATAAGCTTATTCATTTTTTCAGTTAAGTGGGGATCATTTAATACCCTCATATTATTAAATAACCTCATATTAATAACCTCCCAATCAGTGTGTGACAGTAAATCTATCCTCCATGCATTACAAAGACCCCCACTTATCTGTATAGTAAGCCTGACACTTTCCCCAGTGTAGGGCCCAGGACACAGCTGCTGGGGGTACCCTGCCAGGCACCCTGGGTCTGTTTCTTCTTTGCTTCCTCATCTGGTGGATGCCTTCTTCCCAAAGAAAAACTCAGCTTGGAGCTTGTCCCAAATCTCCAAGGTCCTAGTTTAACTTCAGCCATAGCCAATGAACCATTTTAATTTGGGGGTTTAATTTATGCTCCTTACTTTTCGCGTACTTTAATATTATAGTTATAGCTGTTCTTTTGAACGAGGACTCCCCAACCATAGTATCTTGCTCCCCCTACTCAAAAATATAAGTTTTCATCAATGTGTCACAGTAAATTTTTCAGTACACTGAAGAAAAATTATTCAAAAGCACAAAACAATATTCTACACGTTAACTTCTAGAACAGCCATAGAACACATTTATCTATACCTTCCTAAAAGGACCGGGCAGAAGAAGGGCCAAGCAACATTACTGTTACTATTCTGTGAACTTGACACAAGCTAATTAACTCCAGAGAGGTCACAATCACTGCATTCTTTGCCAGCCGCATCTACATGGGGTGTAAAAGCACCCTGCACTGGCACCAGGGTGTGAGGCGGGGGGTAGGGGAGGTATAGTAGTCGAAGTTATTATTTCTTGGTTAATTATATGCAGTTAAAACATTTTTCTTTAAGATAATGTGTCAGATCAGTCAATGGAGATGGGTTAGAGTAAACAAGGATAAGCTATTTTCCCCTATCCTTAATTCTTCTAGCTAACCCAGTAGCACGTTAAAACAGTGGGTATGATGAAGTCACCTCAAATCTGAATCAGGTCAACAGACATTCAAGCAATGAAGAAAAAAGTTCTCATGGTTCAGGGCTCTAAGTCAGACCACCTCCCTCTTTTGATCTAAGGGGAAGTTCAAAATTTGCCTGTGCCCCAGCTACCATCCCCCGTCCCAGCACTCCCAGAGGCCTCAACCCTACTACCACAAGCACGCTCAGACCTCACCATCAACCCACTTTCCCCCTCACTTTCTAAGAAGTAGCTACTGGATACTGTCACAAGTCCTAGAGGCAGTATTTAAATTTACTGCCACCTAAATGCCAAACAAAGCGACAAAAATGTCATAAGTGAAACATAAAATGACCTGGAACTATCACTTGGAACTATCAAAAACAAATCGTTTCCTTTCAAAGAATACACGAAAAAATTCAAAATGCAATTTCAAAATTTGATCTTAAAAACAATTTTTATTCACTGTTACAATATTATAACAGTTGTTTTCAGAAACGGAAATTAGAAAGAAATTATTTTAGAGGGATTCCTTTAAACCAAGTCAAAAGAGAAATGTCCTTTAAAGAAAAACTGATAGTAATGCTTTTGGTGAAATCTACCAACTTAAATATAATCCTTATGCTTAAAAAACATAAGTAAACCAAAAAATTTAAACATTCATATTGATATAAGTTTACACAAAATAATGTTCAACACACACCAAACAAATTAATGGTTATTCTTATAACTGTATTCAGAGAAAATGTATAGATCCAGTAATACACACCAAGATACTTATAAACTACCTCAAAAGATGTTTAGGCCTGCTAGTCTGCCCCTAAGAAGGAGCACAGCTTGGCCCACTCCAAATTATTAGCTCTAAAGAAACAGAAAATTTCAAATACGAAGGATTCACAAGCTAAATTCTTATAAAATCTGTTCTACTTCTACTCTGACACAAACTCACGAAGACCACTCTGAATTGCCTGTGTTGATGAAATTTAGTGAAAGTCTGTAATTCAGTTCATCTAAAATGGTATTAGAAATAAAATGCATAAATAACTAGGTCAGGTAACCCATCTTATCCCCCCTCCCCAATTTTTTCCCACACGTAGCTGGTGAGCCCTGCCTAGCAGAGTATTAAATATCTACCCAAGAGGGATTAACGCCACTGCTGAATCGTGATTTCTCATTAGCAGGTCTTCTTCTTCTCTAAGAGAACCGGTATTGATACATACCTATGGGCTGATACTTTAAAGCAAACCGAGTATACCAGCTGTCCTCAAGCTTCTTCAGGGCTTCATTATCATGCAGTGGAAACACCTGAATCACGATGCCAGACGTGAGCAATCTTCTCACTGCAGAGGGAAAATGCGCCAAACTGCATAAAACGGAATTCAGATTGCTCATGACATGCTTGATCAAATGCTATAAAGACACTCCAGTAAGAGAGGAGTGCTACACAAAGATTGATGCTATACTGCCTACTCCAAAGGTGGATATGCTTTTGTCCTTCAGAATGTGAATATCTTTAGTATTTTGACTATGAAAGCAATACAAGTTGATGTAAAATTTTAAACCATACAGAAATGTACACATTAGAATTGGAGAGGCTCCAGTTATTTTCTCTCTCACAGAAATTAACCACTGTAAATAGCTACTAAGTATAAAACCGGACTTCAAAACATACATCCATAAATATATATTTTAAAAATGGTGTCATTCCATACACATTATATACAATGTTTTATAATCTTTTCTTACATAGTTGTATGTAATGAATATTTTTCAGTGCCAATATAAATAGAACATGAAATGTCCTTTTTAACAGTATAGTATTTCCTTGTATAAAGTGGTATAATTTAACTAATCCTCTATTAAAAAAATACTTGTTTCCTTTTTTTTGCTATTATAAATATAAAATTCTTGTACATATACCTTTTCCTACCTGTCTACTATTTCCTCATTATACACAATTAGAACTAGAATTGCAAGGTCCAAGAGTATGTCTTTTAAATTTGGACACATATTATAAAACTGCCTCTAGAAAAATTTTACCAATCTGTCCTCCCACTAGGTAAGAAAATGTTTAGTTCCTTTCATTCTTGTTGATACTGAATATTTTCAAAATCATTTTCGTCTTTTCTAATCCGATAACAAAGGCTTAAATTTACAAACAGCAAATATCGAAATCAAATAAAGACTTCCTACTTTCAGCAGTCATTTGACTAGTATGATTTTAACACTCATGCAAATATCTGAAAGAGACAAATGAATTTAACCACAGACAATATCCTCTGGAAATATAAAAAAGAATGGGGCATTCTCTCATCCACAATTACTTAGAGTGACTCACTGGGAGGGTCTTCAGGTCTTTAACAGAAAGTGTTCAGCAGACATGGAAAACTTATGCCCTATTTGGGGAGATGGAGTACTTTCATACAAGTTCCTAGTATAGTCTCTTACTAAAGAATATGGCTGCTTATAAGACTAAATTTGCATCAAGAAAGGATGCTTTGCTGTTTTCATCCACTGATAAGCTTTGAGCCTTTAAGATTTATCAGCTCATCTCTTCTAAGGGCTGCCTCCCTTATCTCCTATCTACTTTGTCACCAAAGACAGGCGATGAGCATATCAAGCAACAGGCCCTTCACTGAGGATAGCAAATTAATGAGTGCAGCGTGAAAGAGAAACATCATTCACGGTTTCACTGCAGAAATACCACGTATAACAGAGAGAGACGGTATTCTTAGGACAGATGCCCTATCACAAAATCTTCAGAGTAATTGAAAAGCAAACCTAACTTCTTAGAAATGAAAAATAATAAAGCGAAGATAACTAACAATAGGAAAAAGTCTGGGTCTGAAAAAAAAGATTCTTAATAGATGGTTCTTCTTACAATAATATCTCATACCTAAGTTATACAGAGGGGAAAAGTCTTCAAAAGCTAGGGTTGTGATGAAATCCTCCTTCTTAATGCTTGAAAATGGTATACACTCAAAATACCAGTAACTAGGCTAAAAAGGTATACGGCTTAAGTTATAAGAGCCTCTGGTGCTGTCAAATCCATTTTTTAATATTTTTACTCTAAAGTGTTTCAGTGGATTCTTCTTCAGCTAACATGAGTGAAAGTTGATCACTCACAACTATTCTGATTCTCATCTTGTATTTGGGTATGCACAGCTGCACCTTATTCTTTCCTCTATTACTATCCTTTTCAACGACTACATCAAGTTTTTTAACTTCAAGCTGACTTACAGCATCAAAATTATTATTTTACTATTTCTAAAGTTCTTTTATAAAGATGGCTCCATTCTACTATAGAAGACTTTCCAGGCAGACATAAAAACCAGGTTGTATACTTCTAAAAATAGGACTGTGAACCGAGGGACCTAGAGAAACTAGAAAGCCGCAGGTCCTAAATTACTGGGCTTCTCTTCGCCATCAATGCCAAAAGCATGGTTCTGGTTTCAGCTTCTAAAAATAGAGGTTTTTGGGGTTTTTTTAATCCTTTAACTTTCTCATGTCAGCTAAGAATGTAATTAACATGAGCCTTACCTTCAAAGGAAAATATGATGCTGTGCAGGCCTATTTAAAGAAAAGAACAACTTCAACCAAGATTCCTTCCTTCAAGAATGCTGAATGATCTGTTATCAAGCACTAGGGTTATTATTATTACAGCCATTTAACAATTAGCTAAACAAACCCAAATCTAATTTAAGGGAGGCTGTAAGTAACCTGGCTTATAGTAGGACCCTCTTAATTAAACAGTGCAATAACAATACTAATACAGTAATGTTTCTGTCTTTGGTTAATGTGACGTGTTTACTTCAAAAGTAAAAACAAAAATCTCTCTCACAACTCCTTACAGTATCTCTGTGCAACAGGGAGGAGCACGTCAAGCTGCCTCCAATCCAGCAAAGGGGTGATGAGTGCACAGAACATCAACAGGGAGAGAAGGCTAGCGCAGCCTTTGCACAATAGAGATAAGGCTCCCTTTCCCACTGCAGCTGCTGCTGCAGCCCAGCGCCCCCTCCCAGGCCCCACCTGACTCCGGCACTCAGGTGTGAACAGAACACTTTGTCTTAATAATGAAAAAAACTGCTTCTCAGGGATACTTGTGTTTTCAAAATACATTTTTATATTCCTGTATTGTTTTCATCCCTGCTTAATATAAAAACTGCAAATATGTATGTGGCAAAACACAATATGTGTATGTATATACATATACATGCTGCTGTACCCAGCAATATATATATCAATAGCTTAATCTTGTTATGTACATGCCTGCTACATGACATTTACTTGAAATCTACTCTATTATTTTTATAAGGTTGATTAATAATTTTAGAAGACAGATTGTAATCTGACCACTCCAATCAATCCATTTGTATACAGAAGATATTCTGAAGTAATTACCATAATGTCCTAAAAGAATAACAATATATATTAAAGACCTAATATGAGATGTGCCATATCTCATCAATCAAAACATGATAATCATCTGATACACATTTTGAGACAGAGCTTTAACTTAAACTAAATAACTTGCTTTAGAAAACAGTTAATACATAAGAAATTCTTGCTTCCCTTAACTCCACTATCTAAAGACAATCTTTCATTAGGTTATTTGCATGACTACTGACTATCAGAAATCAACAGGAGAAGGCAGAGTCTGAGGGTATGAAGAGATCTTAGCTCACACAGAAAACTAGAAATGGGATGCCCAAGAAGATGAACACTGCCGGCTAAGACACATATAGCCAGTTTCTAGTTCTCCCATTGTTTGCTGTTTGATGGAATGAGGGAGAGCCAGAAAGTGCAGACCTCACACCACCACCCAACTGCTTCAAGATCACGTTTACAATGACACAAGTTGCCATCTACTGAATGAAAGCTTTCTTCAAAACACAACATTATAGCAAACAAAATGATAATCATTGCACGTAAAATCAAATTAAACCCAAGATAACAGAGAGTGTTTCTCATGAAAGCCTGGCCAGCTCTCACAGTTGACGGTGAGCACACTGAGCAGGTTACAATCTCTCCTCCCGACCCGCTTCAGGGAAGAGGCTGCTCCAGGGAGTGGTTACCACAAAACTTAAAGGCTTGTCCACTTATTTCTATGGGTTAACTTCATGAAAATCTAGGATTTTAAGTTACTCTAAGTTTTATTAGTTCTAAAATTTGCACTCTGAAAGTAGTTCTCAGTTTATAATTATGCATATACCATTTTGTCTTCAACCAAATATTATGATATAAACACAGCATTTTAGGGATCATATTTTCAAAGACATAAAGGAAGAGAATAAAGCAGAATTTTAAAATCCATCCTTGACAACTATGATTCTTATCTCAGATAGTATTAAAAAATTTCAACTGACCATGATTGAGATGACTTTATTGTTTTTATATTTATTACAAAAAAAGAGAGAGGGAGGGAGGGAGGGAAGGAGATAAGGGAGGAAGGGAGGCAGCATCCTTGTTTATAAAAGCCTCATCCTGCCAGCAGGAAAGTTATTTCTATTATAGCTTCAGGACACCAAACTGGCTACCTACACACCCAAGAGAAATCTATTTACATATTTCCTTCAAGGTTTTCATTCAGTTGAAAATTTCTCTCTTTGAAGCAACTGGGAGCATTTGGAAAACTGCTGCTGATCCCATCCAACAAAAGCGCACACTCACTCTTTGTCCCGATCACACCAAAGAGGATGTACCTGCGTAGAAACTAACAGGTGGAAGCAGTGATTGCCACACGATGCCCTGATTAACGTGGATGAACAGGAAGAAAAGGGATGCTTATATTAACAACCAGGACAGTGCCTCAGTCTGCTTTGTATTTTATTTGATGTACAATGAAATATACAGTTTGATGTATAACGAAATATATATACTGAAAATATGCCTTCCCATTAAGAGACAAAGAAAGATTTAGGGGCTGGCCCGGTGGCGTAGCAGTTAAATTCACACATTCTGCTTCGGTAGCCTGGGGTTCGCTGGTTCAGATCCTGGGTGCAGACCTATGCACCACTCAGCAAGCCATGCTGAGGCAGCGTCCCACATAGGAGAATTAGAAGGACCTACAACCAGGACATACAACTATGTACTGGTGCTTTGGAGAGAAAAAAGGGAAAAAGGAGGAAGACTGGCAACAGATGTTAGCTCAGGGCCAATCTTCCACAAAAAAAAAAAAAGAAAGAAAGAAAGGAAAACTACTATAAATAATTTAAAAAAAAGAGAAAGATTTAAAATTTTGGAATGGTACCAAACTGCTTAAATACAGAATGTGGAACTCCTGGTAACAAAAAGTGGCAGAAAGACACCTCTGCCCTGTTCTTGTTCATGACATCAAATC